GACCTCCTGCTTTCCAGCTCCCTTGTCCACTCCTCCCATACTCGCCTCCAGGACTTCTCTAGAGTCTCTCCCATCCTCTGGAACTCCTTACCCCAACCTGTCCGTCTATCTCCCACCTTGACTGCCTTTAGGCGTTCCCTAAAGACTCATCTCTTCAGGGAAGCCTATGCCACCTCAACCTAACCACTGAACCTTCACATTCTCACATAATTCATTCCCACAGCTACCTCATGTATCATTTCCCCCTCCACTTTTAGATTGTAAGCCCTCAGGGGCAGGGCCCTCCTTACCATCTTGTCTTGAATTGTATTGTAACTGTAATGTCTTCCTTATATTGTAAAGCGCTGCGCAAACTGTTGGCGCTATATGAATACTATGCAATAATAATAATAATAATAACCATGTTGCGGCATTACTTAGCATAAATGTCAAACATAGCAATTGAAACATGGCTGCTCCCATATGCATATATATTTACAAGCATATACACTGAGTGGCCGGATTATTATATACACTGAGTGGCCGGATTATTATGACCACCTGACGTTTGTAGGCAAATTAGCTATAATTTGACGCTGAAGTTGCTAGAGGGCCAGACCATTATAAATAGGGGAGCAGGTTGGTTACCACGACAGTAGAAGTGATTTGTTTCTGAAGATACGGGGAAACAACGCGGTGTAACAGCCTTTGAACGTGGGATGATTGTTGGCGCTCGGAGCCATGGAGCGAGTATCAGCAAAACAGCAGAATTCGTTACATGTTCAAGAGCAGCTGTTGTTAAAGTGTTTAAAGACCGGACTGTCAGCCGAAAATCTGGGTCTGAACGTGCGAATTGTGGCCGTCAGCGACTAGTCAATGTTAGGGCAGAACGGGGGAGGGGCAAGACTGGTACAAGACAACAGAAGGGCAACAGTGCAGTGTCAGATTCCTCGCATCACCTTTCAACATCTCGTGGAGTCACGAGGCGGCCCAACGAAGTACTGATACCCCAGTATCATAATACCGTGGTCATAATAATCTGGCCACTCAGTGTATATGTGCCATAGACGCTGCCACTGGGGCCTCGAGGACTGTCATAGGACCTCGTTGATGGACCCAATAAGAAGTATCCACCAGGCAGTGACATGGAGCAATTCTCTAGCATTCCAAATGGCTTTCGATTGCAAAATGCCATCAGTCAAGACAATCCCACCAACACCTCTGCCATCCCATTATATAACCTGTTGCTGGTAGGTTGCTTTGGTTCTTCTTGAAGTTCTCAATATTGCAAAAAAATGTATTTTTGTATGGCCAGCATTACACGCAATGATAGGATTACTTGCATT